CAGTCCATCTCCGATTATATTATTCTAAAGTAAAATTACAAATTATATATCGTATTTTTTCTATTATTTAATATTTTATATTATTATTGATGAAACATACATCATTAGAGGCTGATCATGAGAATATAATAATGATTAAATAAAAACAAATGCAAAAGTAGCAACAAATAGTTAGAAACTGTCAGGGAAGAGATTACCTTCTGATTCAGCTTTTCCTTTTATTTTGAAGACAATACAAATTATATATCATATTTTTCTATAATATTTAACACTGTGTTATATTATTTATGATGAAACAAACACAATATAATGTTAATCATCCGAGAATATGATGACGAATAAATTAAAAACCTGATGAACGCAGCAACAACCAGTACCACCCCCCCCCCCTCCTCCAGCATGTTTACACAAGTGTCAACTTGTAACCATTAACTCTCCTTAGGCCTATATCAAATATGATTATACTAATGTACAGTATCCCCATTGAGGACAATACAGTATAGTCTGGATTTACGCGTTTGGTCATTTACGTGGAACATGACCAGACGCGCCAATTATCAGTTATGCGGTAAATTCCATCATTTACGCGGCAAGCGGCGTGAGACGCGCCAATTATTAGTTACGCGGTCCATTCTTGACCTTACACGGGAAGCGCCGCGGGGAGGGTGCGCAGTATGTCGCTCTTACGTTATCGCTGACGTTATATGACGTATCGGACTGTGATTGGGCCACGCATCCTTACCTCCCTCCACCGCTAGCTGTGATTGGTCTAACTTAGCATGACGTGGCCTGCCACCAGAGGGATTAAGTCGCTGACCTAAGCTGCGCCAGTCTCATTGTTCTCAGTCTCCGCATATACTGTTCTCCCTTGTGCCCGCTAATCTGTTCAACAATGGCATCTGCTGGACCCCCACCACCCCCGAGAAACCTTGAATTACCTGGACCAAGCCGCCCCAAGCCCAAGAAGATACAATGCGCTTTAAGCTATGAAGTAAAATACAAAATCGTGCAGGAGTTGAAGAAAAGAACAAGACAAGTTGATTTGGCGAGCCAGCATGGCGTGAACGAATCTACGATCCGGACGATCAAGAAGGATGCCGCCAAGATAAAAGAACACATGAGCATCACATAGTCTGCAGGTGCTTCAATGGTGAAATATTGTCAGAATAAAGTGCTGCTCAAGACTGAGGGTTTATTGGTGAGCTACTTGATTCGTCAGGCGAGAAGGAACGTGGCACAGGACACGCGGTCAGTTCAGGAGTATGCCCGAGAACTTTACGTAGCAGTGGTGCGGAAAATGGAAATTGCAGAGCCCAAACACTTCACTGCTTCCGCTGGGTGGCTGCAAGGGTTTAAAAAAATGTCACAAAATAACTAACATTGAAATTGGTGGTGAAGGAGCTAGTGCTGACCATGCTGCCGCCATGAATTTTCACCATTCTTACGAGAAATTATGGAGGAAGGAGAGTACACCGACGACCAGGTGTTTAACATGGATGAATCCGGGCTCTTTTGGAAGAAATTACCATTCAAGACCTTCATAGTCAAGTCTGCCAGCAAGTGTCGGGGCCGGAAGTTGCAGAAGGAGCAGATCACCGTCCTGTTCACCACCAATGCCTCCGGTACCTGTAAGCTCAAGTTTTCAGTGATCCACACAGCCCGCAAGCCGCACGCCTACAAGAACGTGGACATGACCAAGCTAAATGTCCACTGGCTAACCTCCAGGAAGGTGTGGATGTTCACTGGTCTGTCCGTTTCCTGGTTTGACGACTGTTTCGTTCCTGACGTCAAGAAATTCTGCAAGCAACATAATGTTCCATTTAACATTTTGTTGCTCCTTGATAACGCACCAGGACACTCGCCCCTATTGCTGGATCATCACCCCAACGTAAAAGTGGTCTTCCTTCGCCCTAACACTAAGTCATTAATCCAGCCCATGGATCAAGAATTAATTTGTAATGTCAAGGCTGCTTTCTCAGCAAAGAAGTTTCGGCTCCTTAATGACTTAACCAACACCAAGGAGGAATTGCGGAACCATCTGAGTGGCACAGATAGCGAGAGAGAGGATCCAGAAGAAGAGTTGGCGGAGCATGAAGTGCGAGTCAAACAGTTTTGGAAGAAATTCAACTTCAAGAAAGCTGTTGATTTCTTGGTGGAGGACTGGGGGCAGCTGTCTGTGGCAACGATTCGTCATGCGTGACGGCATGTGTTGCAAGGTATCCCAGGTGGGAGGCAGAGGCAACCTGAGGCTGGAGAGGCTCAGTCTGTTGCAGTGGCAGTGGACCTTGCAAGAGAAGCTGCACAGAGTGTTAGAGCTGCAGGCTTCTCCGAGACCACCAACGACAACATCCTGGAGGTAATCAGGCAACCTGAGGTGACTGCCGACGAGATGCTGGAAGATGATGACGTCAGTGAGGCTGCAGGCGGTACAGCAGAAAAAGAAGAACAAAAGTTAAGTCATAGTGATGTAAAGGAGGCAATCGAGTATGTCGAGAAAGTCAAGCTCATCCTTTCAAAAGACCCAGTGAATCACCGCTATGAAGTTACCAATAACCTCCTGTTGCAGTCTATGGAGCCATATATCAAGATGTATCACGACAACATCAATGCTAGGCTTCAGCGTAATATTACAGACTTCTTCGCCCGCAACCCACCACAACCACAGCCAGCCTAAGTCAGTGACAGTGACGATATGGACTTTGAGGGGTTTGTCAGGGAGGCCCTGCAAACCTCTGTGAATAATAGTGACAGTGACTCACCGGAGGGTAACTAATCTGCCTTCTGCCTCAGAACCAGCCGCCATTCCCGTGTGCCGACCCATCTCTTCTACTAACATAGGTGTTAAACACCTTTATATTTGTACTGTAGTGTAGTTTTTTATTTATATATTATGTGTGTGTTCATACCATCATAAAATTAAGATGTTATTTTCACTACAAGGTACGTATTGTGTCGGAAAAAGGGTAGTCTGGGGTCGGCCCAGTCTCTATTTCAATTAATCCCATATGTTCTGTTATTTCGTTTCCACATTTCTCGTTTTACGTGGACCCCCACAGGTTCAAATGACCGTGTAAATCCAGACTATACTGTACAGTATATATTCTAATAAGAAATAAAGTAATATATATATTTTAAATATATTCTCTTTAATGAACTGTGCTACAATATACTATATATAAAGGAAAAATGTAACATGAAACATATATGACATTTAAAAGTCATCACGGGGGGCTAATGAGTGGCTGCACAGTGGCTCCCAGAAGTTTCAAAGATTTTCTGGACTTTTGATGGTTTACTGTATATGCCACTTCATGTATCAACAGTGCCTCAAAAATGGTTTCTAATGATAATATCCCAAAATAGACTAGGCACTGTGTAGCACAGCTTGAAGGATCATCACAGAAGTGCTTCACCTTTGTTGCAGTGCATACTCTATCACATCCATACTTCTAGACATCATTTCTAGGACTCCCTATAGAAAGTCAAGTCAATCAAGCAGACAGATTGAACACAGACTAAGAATTTTTAGTAATAAAGAAATATGTAAATAATTCAGCTTCTGCACAATATAGGGGGAAATTTAAGAGTTCCATTTACCTGGTCAATAAAAGTTATCACTCTCTCTAGTATCTGTTGCTCCTCCTTCTGAAGGCTCTTCACTTCCTTAAAATTTGCTTGCAATTGGATAGAGTCATTACCAATGTGCTGACTCTTTGGTAAGTCACATAAAAATGTAGCCAGACGATAACTCTCTTCTAGGCGAGTGAGAAATCCCGAGTTTTTCTGTGTACTTGATATTTTCTGCTTGTGTTCAATTAATGTTTTCCTTTCATTCTGTAATACAAAATGAAATAAAATCACTTTAAACTTTTGGTACAAGTTTATCAGTATGATGCAGAGTTAAAAAGAACAACATCAATTATGTCATTACCACAACACCCTAAATTACTCCAATTTTTTTTTTTTGAGCATCAGCTGATCAACTAAGGGGGTACTCAGCCAATTCAGTAATCTGTTCTATGTTTACATTCATTTCCAATGGAGTAAATATCAATAAAGTTGTGCTTTATAATATTTTTGCATGTTTTATATTAAAATTATTAGTCATTTTAACATTTATTCAACATATTGATAATATATGCAGTACAGGGAACTATTTCACAGTCATTAAGTTCACATACAACTTGATTAGTACTATCAAAGATTATATTCAGATATCCAGTATACCTATAAATATAACAGCACTGTCAGTATTCTTCAGTATGACTGTGCATGCCATGTTGAGGACTGCATGTACAATAATGTTTAAGAAAAGTTAGTACTTTCTTGTGTATAGATGGGCAAGGGAAACACTTGCTGCTCTTTCTGCCATCATACTGAGGCATAAAGTCACCATTAAAAAACCACAAGATGTCCCTCAAACTGCAAAAGTGAAAATGGGTCCCATGGACAGTGACAATAAAGTAAACACTGTACACTAGAACAAGCCTTTGGCGTTCCAAAGAAAGTGTTTATGACTACACTTCAGTGCCTTTACTTCCCCAACTTGTAAAGTATGGTACAGTAGGGTCGGGATATAGCGCGACTTTTTATAAAGATTTATATTTATACAGTAGAAGTCCAAAAATCCGGACTGCTTGGGGATTGGGTCGGTCCGGATTTTCGGATTTTCCAGATTCTCGGGCAGTACTTTTAAAATTCAATTTTAAGGAGGAATAAAGAACAGATGAACAGGTACAGCAATATCTAACTGTCTAATACCATGACGAGTCTTGAAATTCCTAAGCCATCCATCACTAAATGAGCACTCTGATTCAATGTTCATTTGCTACTTAAAAGACTTTGCTTTGGCACAAGCATCCGCCCAGAAATTGCCATACCTTCTGATCGTTTTAACAAAAACCATTCGTGCAACACTTTATCAAGATTTTCTAATTTTGGCCAATGTAAACTTTTTCTTTCAGCAATTTGATTGTAAAGCCCAGAAGAAGCTGTGAATTCTAGTATTTTATTCTTTGCCTTTTATATATCATAAATTGTAGACTTTTCAATGTCGTATGTTTCCATTAGAACAGTATTGCTCACACGACATTCTAGTTTTTTAATTATTTCAAGTTTGTCACTCAATTTCAACGTGTTCTTCTTTCTCTTCACACAACGAAGTTTATCTACTTTAGGAGCCATTATTATGGGCTTGTACTCTGTAAATGGAAAGAGTAGGACTCAAAATTACATACGTTGTCACAGTTTGATCGCTCGTTTTAAAGTGGCGACCGGCTGGTCGCTTTTCGCTGTGCAGCTGTGGCACTCACGCATGCGCAAATACACACAAAAGCCCGCTAAATTAAAAAAAGTTTGAGTGTTTTCGAAAAGTATGGATTCTCAGGTGGTCCGGATTTCTGGCATCCGGATTTTTGGACTTTTACTGTATTGGGACTACCAAAATTATCGCCATTTTCCAATATATAACGATAAATTTATTTATTTCACAAGGGAAATCGGGCAGGAAATATTTCAAGTGTACCGCCATAGCAAACAAATGCGTTATTTGCTCACCAGGGGCGCCACCATGGCTGTTCACCCACGTGAAAGGTGAAGTGAAGATAATGGAAATCTTAATGGAAAAGATTTAATACTGTAACTAATATATTTGGTGTACGTTTATGGAGGTGTGGGATTTTCAAGTGAGGGTGGCGTCTGCTGCCGAGTCTGGCGTTCCCAGGATGGTGAGTCAGTTGCCGAGTCGAGTGTTCCTTGATATTGAAACAGTCTGTTGTTCCATTGTTCATTGGTGCTTTAGTTAGTAAGAAAATAAATTCGTTTAGTCAAGTTTAGTCACTTTTATTGGCCTCCAGAACCTAACCTTATTTTCCTCACTGATTACATGTAATTATATACAGTATCGCGATTTAGTATACAGCGAACATCGTTGGACCCTATCTCATGATATATCCCGACCCTACTGTACATATTTACAGCCAGGTGGAATGGGAGTGCCCTAGAATCGAAACAACTACCCTTAGGAAAAGAGGTAGATGGTGTATCCATACCGCCACTCCACCCCCTCAAAATGTAGATGTGTTTATAATTCATCTAGCAATATTTTGTGGTGGAAATATAACCAAAATATATTAAATAAGAAGTTGAGTTATTATCAAATCAGTCCATTAATGTAACTCTTACCTGAGCAAACCTTGGATCTCTGTGTTTCAGCAGTAATAAAATCTGGGCGAGAAGTGATGGACTTTGTAGTGATGCAACAGAAACCATAGATCCAGTCACCCCACAACCTATCAATTCATATATAATAGTTAGTAAATTTAACAAAGATGTTTCTATCTTATCCATAAGCAATTTTTTTTTTCAACTATAGTACCACACACACATCTTGTCTATTTTCCACCAGTATTTTCACTAAACTCTTATGTGGGGTTGATCAAGGGGTATAGAACACCCAAAGAAAGAGGATACACCTACAATGAGAATTATGCAAGACAGCTGCAATAAAAACATACCCTCATAATAAACTGGTAAGAGCATGTGAAGAAGGTTAATTCTTGCCTCTTTCACTTGATCCTCAAGCAACACAGCTGACTCAATCTACAAGATGTATAATATTAGATGAAGAAGCACATAATGTTATCTCTGTCACATTATATACAAGTGTTCATGTAAATCATAAGGTGTTTTTAATTAATACATTAAATATGAAATCATGACATCTTATAAGGTATCTTATATTGGACACAGCACGACAAGTTACTTATTAAATACCTTAAAATATTTTGGAAGTGGTACCAAGGAAAACACAACTAGAAGGGTGGACAGTGCAGTTTCATTCATATCTACATAACCCTGAAAAAATATAAAAATAAATTAACGACTCTCTCAAAGCCGGAAAAAATCCCTCGTCCCCGGAATTTGCCGGGTAATGGAAAACTGTTCTCGGAAGTTCCAGAAATTGCCAATTACATAATCTCTCGAACCTGGAAAAATATCCCTCATCCCATGTACACTTAATTTGGTCAAAAAAATTAAACAATCTTCTCAAGAAATTTTTTTTTGGAAACATCAAAAATTGACAAAAATCTAAATATTCTTTCCCTATATTAGTCCAAATTTGTGGGGGTTTATTGTATGTTCTATATAATGACCAAAGGTTTTAGCAAATAACTCTTTTGAAAAATGGCACAAGATCATTGTGGGGTTTGTTATTATTTGTGGTGTAAGTAAAACTTTTCTTTCACATCACAAAGGTTTAATAATGAGATGATACTGCATTAAAGTTCTCACTTTCAGTAAGTTTAAGAAAAAATGTGTTTCTCTGTACTGTACTGTTGTGTACTAAGCAAAAGTACCACTGTATTAGCCCCTTAGTTCTTATATAAATGTCAGGGCAGTACACTGGGTTTATATAATCATATCACCACCTGTAACTTTCCACTGGCTATGGGGTGACATGGTCACACCACGTCATGGGTAAGTTCCTTGAGGTGCGGCCCTAAGACTGTTAAGGTCAGCATTTAAAAGCTGGTTACTGTCACTCAACACCTTACACCAACCGGACGTATTTAGAAGAGCTCTTTAATAAAGCCTCCGTCCTCATCTTAACACTCATAGCTACAGTGATTAAGTTACGGTGATATACACTTGGAACTGTATATGAGATAGTCCCTAAATAAATAGATAACAGACAATTGTGTTTGGCTACTAAAACACTATATAATATACATGTTCCAGCCTCATTAACCCAGAAGGAATCAACGGTTAAAGGGCCAGTTCACCACCTCCCTAAAACATGACAAGTTAATACGTACAGTAAGTTCTCGCTTAACGTCGGGGTTACATTCCTAAAAATGCGACGTTATACGAAACAACGTTAAGCTGATCAATTTTCCCCAAAGGAAATAAATAGAATACGGGAGTTACGTTCCCCAGCCTCCCTTTGACCCGTGAAATACATTACATATACAGAAAATCATTGGCATTTGTATAGAAAATAATGCATACATATACAACTACTAAGTTTGTATTGGTACTAACAGATGGGCAGAGGTGGTAAAGCGAGTGTGTGGTGGGTAGTGAAGCGGAGGAGGCAGATGGCGGGAGGGGAGGAGTATGGCAGGAGCGGAGGAGGAGGGTGGGAGCGGAGGAGGGTGAGAGGGGAGGAGGAGGGTGGGAGGGGAGGAGGAGGGTGAGAGGGGAGGAGGAGGGTGGGAGGGGAGGAGGGTGGCGAGTCACTGAGACTCTGCGCCAAGCCGAGAGAGAACAGCGCAGCCAAATGAGAGCAGGTGATGCACCGTAAAATGTAGTTTGTGACGACGCAAACAAAGTGGTATCGGATCACCGGGGCATTAAACGAATTTTTGATCTCTAAAATTTGGCGACTTAGTACCGAAATAACGTTAAGTGGGACGACATTAAGCGTGGACTTACTGTACCAACATTAAATAATGTTAAGAAATGCTTTCTTCAAGATAAATTAGTAGAAAAAATAATTAAATTTGTACCTGATAAAAGAGCTTGAAGACAGATGAAGTGGGACTAACAAGACCAGTCTCCATCAGTGACTGTAATAGTTCTAAGCCAGACTGTGTGCACTGCTTACCACTCACTAACCTGAAGATAAATTACAAAGTTAACAACCTGACTACAAGGATCCAGTCTCTTTTCATCAAAAAGAAAAAACCTGCTATAACAATGTAAAACAGAAAATACTAAGTAAATATATCATATTAGGTCAAATTACTGTGCTATTCAATTTGTTTTAAATTTTTACAGTCACATGTTGAACAGACAAATATGGAGGATTAATCTTGAAATCCATTCTTGTGACTGAGTCCACAAGACAAACCAAGTTAACCCCTTCACTATGGGGACATAACTTTCAATATTTTAAATGGCTAATGCTAGACAATTTTATTCAGCTCGGAGGGAGCCCCATACATAGGGGGTTAAGCCAGGACTGATCATATGGTCATTCATCCCTCCCCATTTACAACTACTACCTTAAGGGCAAACTGGGAGGCTCCCTGTAGAGGCTGGAGGTACAGTATTAGAAAGCCAGTCCTACATAGCTGACAGGTTGCCATCTTGAAATTTAAGAAAGTCCCCAGCCACCATAACCCCCTACACCCCCAAAAGGCAGAGGAGAACTTATGGCAAATACTGTTCAAACTTTTCCATTGCAGTAGCTTCATCACACAAGTGGACTGCCACATGAAGAATGTCCCTACCATCAGGAAATGAACAAACCAGGTTGGGAAAGAACCATTGTCTTCCTTTAATTTAATAGAAAGAATACAGAACCACTAGACATGAATGGAGATAAAAAAAATTAAGTCAGTCAGGGAAACATTCCATATTAAAAACAGGCAAAACAAATTAAATTCCATCAGCAACATAAAATTATCATAAAACACATGAATAATGTCGAGTTCCTTATCCAATGTGAACTGGGAATCCCCCCATGACAGAATATGACTGGAACAACATAATACAAGGCGCCATTAATCGAATCCCTTTAAGTGTCCATATACGTTTATTGTTAAAAAATGTAAAAGTTCACAATAATTCCGAGCACAAACCATTAAGAACAAGGTGAAGGGTGTAAAGTCCGCCCTCACGACGGCAGGTAGCTGTCTGTCTTTGCCCCCACCACACAAACAAGCACCCAAGCAGTTAACATTCAGCTCTGAGAACTACCATGTCTCAGTAAGGACTAGGAAATGATGTCATTGACTTCTTTAATAAATTCATGAAACAGTTTACCCAATCAAATTTTACATTACAATATGCCCCCCAAGTTAGCGGATTTTTACTTCGCAGTTTTCGGTTATTCGAGGATGATACTCTGGATGTACCCAAGAATGTCTGTGGGTAGTTTTAAAGTTGCCGGCATTTTTGCGGGTGGGACAGGGAGCCATTCACTCCAGAGACAGTAATTTCCTTTACCTGTATTGTATACTGTATGTGTGTGTACAGGTGTAGACACACACACATAAAACACATACAAATAATTAATAATTGGAAAATCCTCTCACAAATACAGTGGTCCCTCGGTTAACGAACGCCTCGGTTAACAAAATTTCGGTTAACGAATTACCTTCCATAAGATTCTTCACTTCGGTTACGAATTCCTTACGACCTTTTCCCAACATGTTTTCGCCTGCATTTGGCTGCTCACCAGCTGTAGTATTAGTCCGCCAATACAGTAATCGGTTTTAGGGCTTAAATTCGTTACCATTTTAGTAAATATCAAGAAGGTTGTACTATTCAATAATTTTAAAAGTTTTATATTAAAATTTTTAGTCATTTTAACAATTATTGAACATAAGTGAAGTACAGGAAACTAGTTTTTTGCGCGCCAAACAGCCACTCAACACACCAAGCTTGGCGACAGTTTGTTTATCGGTTCAGAGGAAGGAATATCTTGTTCGAGACTCTTCAACATAAACGATGTTTTTCTGTGTTTCCAGTCAAATTATTGGTCATTTTGAAATATATTTGTGTTGATTTAAAGAAAATAATCTTGAATTACACCAAGTGAACTAAAATTTTATGGGTGAAATGGCACCATGGGGTGACTTCTCTTCCACCCCAATGCCTTCTCTTCCTCCTTCTCCTCCACCCCCATTCTAATTCCCATCATCATCATCATCCAGGAGCCTTCATCATATACACCTCAAAGTATGTGCACTTTTCTACCTTTTTTGTTGAATTTAGGCAATTTTCGGTGAGCTGGAACCAATTACCCAAAAACCCATTGAAACAATGGTTTCGGTTAAAGAGTTTTTGGTTAACGAGCAACCTTCTAGAACGAATTGTGCTCCTTAACCGAGGGACCACTGTAATCAGAAACAAGTTTTTAAAAAATGTGAGTCTACCCTCAAGTCTGTGCTCTATTTATAAGGTAATAAAGCACGGACTTGAGGGTAGACTGTCATACTTAAAAAAAAATGTGTTTCTGATTATACAAACACATGCATTTTAGCTGACAGCATCTGTCTGAGTGTGAACCAAGTTGACCCAGAAAAACAAGTGAGTAACACTTGGCAAGATTATACCAAGTGACTAACAGACGGCGGGATGTTTCCATGCAAATTTTGGGATACTAACAGATTCTGGAGGAAGAAATTTTTAAAGTCTGACTGTACTCCTCTGATCGGATGACCAAGAGGTTAAACATATAGTAAAACACATACCTCAAAGTCAAGTCCCAAGCTGGTGTCCATTTGCCCATTCTTAACTCATGTTCAGTGTCATTTTGAGGATAAATTCTATTGTACTGATGAGCTAAAGCTTCAAGGCATCTGAAATATAAATATTCTTACTTCACTGAAGAAACTTCCCCTTTTCCAAACAAATATTTTATTCAAATATTTTCCACTTACAAACTTATATCAATTCAAATAATTTTCCCCCATTCTTTTAAGTCCTTTTCCACCATCATACATGGTGGGTGGAATCAAGAGCAAACACAATCAGTCATTTTATTTTTGTTTTTCAAGTGTTTCTGATGTGTTGAGCAGTTTTGGAGGATTGGCATGCTGATGGTTGATGATACCAGGTTGTATGAAGTGACATGAATTATTAGAAGGATAGCTTGAGCCATTATCATCAAATGATAATGGTGATAGCTTGAGGCCATGTTGTAGAAGGGAAATACCATGGAATAATACTTTTATCATAATATAGTTTAAAGACTGTAATTGTGTAGGAGATAGCTTACATGAGTAACAATTATAATGGAAGGATAATTTTTGAGAAACGTTTGTATAATTAGAAAATTATACTCAATAAGTAGCTGGGGACGGAATAGAGAAGAACTAGAGACAGGGGAGGACACAGCCAGGGAGTAGTATTATGAAGAATGTGTCAATAGAGGAACCTGCCAATATGTACTGTACTATATATGTTTGAGACCAGTGTAAGGAGGATCTATATGAGACTGAAATTACAGATATACAGACACAATTTACCTGTGACCTGACTTGTGAGAATGTTCCAACAAAAATAAAACACTGACCGAATTATATGTTCCTGGATAGTTGGCTTCCTGCACTCAGATAAGTTGTGGGTGAACAACTCCAACATTAATGAACACCGAGCTTGGTCAAAGAAAGCAGTGTAGGACTTGAGCATCTCATGCAATATTTGATACCTGTATATAATAAAATAAATTAGATTAACATTTAGAAAACAAAACAAGTTTCTTTGAAAAAATAAATAAAATAAAAAATAAAAATAAAAAATATAAAAATTTACTACTGTACTGTTTCATGGTAACAATCAGAAGACTTATATTTTCCTTTTCACTCCTACATTCCTTTTCCTGTTGTTTGCATCTATCCCACACAAGCAAGGAAAATGGACGTAAAATGATGATGATGATGATAGCTAAAGTCAACAGCAGTAAAAACTCTTCCCTCAATCAATGTCATTCATTTCCTTTTATAACTTACACATAAAGGAAACTGTGCAATACAGAGTATATAATATTTGTATCCTGAATTTTATTCTAGGTACAGTATTCTTTAAATTAATTCTTAGTTCTTGTATTTATTTTTTAATATTTTTTAAAAGAATCTTTCCACACTAGTAAATAACCTAAGAAATGTGTCCAGTACAGTATACCATATTTAATGTATGTCACAGTGATACAGTAAGGAACCCTTGACTGGAGGCAGTCATTCACAGTCCCAACATGCAGTTAAAGTTTCCATTAAAAAATAAGTTATTGTTATCTACAATTCTACAATATATACAGCCGGTCTTAACTTCCTCCTTTGTCTGTTTAAAATATTTATTTTTTTCCCTTGTCATGAACATTTACAGTGCAACATCATTAATCCAAGGTTCTTACCTCTAGTTCCTATAATCTTAAACAATTATATAAAAAAATTATGTTTTATAAACACATTATTTATATCTTCCCACTGCACCTGGGACTGATGGATCTCACTACTCTGTTGTGCAGTGCAACATATAGTCTACAGTACAGTTATTCCCCGATAACAGACACATGCGGACAGTGAAGGCAATGGATAGTGAGTCAATAGTTTTCAAAGCAATTAATCCCAAAAGAATAAAACAAATTTGGGAGGTTAGGGATCAGCCACCCCAAAAAACTCCCATCCACCCTTGATATACCTCTGTCAAGCAAGAAAAAAAAAGCAGATATATAAAAGCAAGTATTAATTTAGGAATGTAAAGCATAAATTTAGCCTGTTATTTTTCTGTGTTGAAGCAATGAGCCATCCCCTCTGGCTGAATGGTCCCCTCAGCCATCCCCTCTGGCTGAATGGTCCCCTCAGCCATCCCCTCTGGCTGAATGGTCCCCTCAGCCATCCCCTCTGGCTGAATGGTCCCCTCAGCCATCCCCTCTGGCTGAATGGTCCCCTCAGCCATCCCCTCTGGCTGAATGGCTGGCTGATGCTTTGGCCACTGTTTCTGCCTTTAAGAGTTTTAAAAGATATCCACACATATTTGAAAGCAATTATGGGCTAGTGGAAATTTTTAGAATAAGCAGGCCTGCCAACACGTGCATGCCCTCACTATGTTGATGTCCCATACCCATAAACCTGTTCTATATGGTTACTGGAGAAGCACAGCCATCTGCGGACATAATAAATGGCTTCTTTCATAATGAGTTTTTTGTAAGGTTACTATGCTGTGGGGGGAGGAGGGAGAGAATGATAAAGTGAGACATCACCTTCGATACAAGACATTCTTTTATTCTCAAGTCAAAATACAAATTATATATTATATTTTATCTTTTACTGAAGACTGGTGTATGGGTCAGAAGCATGGACACTTTCAGCAGACACCAGTAAGAGGTTGGAGGCCTTTGAAAAGTGGTGTTATAGGAAAATGCAAAGAATAAACTACGCTGGCAGGAAAACTAATGAAAAAGTACTAAGATTAGAAAAACTTCAAGAAAAATACTTTAAATGTACAGAAAAGAAAAATGAGATACTTTGGTCATATAATTAGGGATTAGAGAATAATAACAAATATTAATGGGCAAAGTTGACGGTAGGAAGATCAGGGGAAGGCAGAGATTGTGGTGGATAAAAGAAATAAAAAATTGGCTCCTCAGAAATACAAAATCTTGTAGGGTCAGTAAAAACAGCCCCAAAACATTTAGAGTGGAGGACTGTGGTTGCCAACCTTCAGATTTAATGACAGTACTCTGATTGATTGCTTCATTGATTGATGATATATACAGTGTTTTATAAGCATTTGTGAAATACCTGGTGTCATAATAAGCACCTGTGAGACACATGGGTTCATTATGAGTATACATACAAGAGAGTTATGGTGTCTTTTGAGTATCAGATGTAATCAATAACTTTCAAGCATCTGGTATACTTCAGAATACCTGTGAGCCGCCTGGTACCATAATGAGCATTTTCCAGATACAGGGAGTCAGCAAGAGCACAAATGATACAGCAACATTATGAATATTTCCCCAATTACGTACAGTCGTGGACATAAAGAATTTGGCAGGGTGTATGGGAGGGTGAGGATGTAGATGGAGACTTCACAGTATTGCATCCGGGTGGCAGTGAAAAGTCTTCTCAAACATTCAATTTTAACATAATTTTTGTGGCTGGTTTGGAGTTATTTACAGCACATGTTAGTGGAACCTGCACCTGCCTCACAATTAAACTGAAAACAACAAATCCATTTGTGGTGTGAAAAGAAAATTCCAAACTTTCAATTAAACTCCACTTACATGCAACGTTGCTAAGTTTCCACCTGTCTCTACTTCCTATTCACCACCTCTCTCCCACTCAGCCTATCAAATTCTTATTGTCCACAACTGTACATTAATGACTTTAACCTCTGAATTTTTTATCTTATCTTATTTTAAACACGGTCGATCCCTCATGTTTAGTTTATGTGAATGACACACAACTCAACATAAGCTATGGACAACTTGTGTCATGTCAATTTTTTAATGATCTTCACCTTCAACCTCTTTACCAAAAAATCATTAAGATTTACTTTTGTATACATTGAGAACTCTTGCATCAAACTTAACTTAAACCTTTGAACCACTGTATGATGCAGAAACCATTTTCCAATATGGTCTGACAATGATCTTAAACTCTGACCTGTTGACTCCAAAATCAAAAGCCCTTTTATGATGTTTAGCGACTGAATGAACCACAGCTCACAGGACAGAAACCATTTTCAAATAAAATCAGTGACCTCAACCTTTGAACTGTTGACCCTAAAATCAATGGCATCCCACCACACCATATCACCTCCACCCCCACTGTACTTCACCACGCCTAGTACATTGGCAACCCTGAGCCTGGTCGCACTGTTTGTAAACTTTGTGGCCAACCCGACTCTCACACCCTCTCTCACTACATCCTCACTTGCCTTATGACCTCCTCCTACAGGTCCCCAGCCGTTACCAACACCTCTTCCCTCCCTGACCAGATATCCCTCCTCCTAGTGACAGGCCTGGCACTTGACATTATTAGGGACCTGCCACACTTTTCCATAACCAGATAAATTGTACCGGGAATTTTCCCCCCACACACTCATCAATCTGTCACTTTATGTAACTTGCTGACAAAGCCCATGACCCTTCAGGCTTTTACGCCCTTAATGCATGAGTCATAAAGGCAAGCATGAACTCCACATGCTTCCCAGATGGGAGCTGTAAATGCTTCTGAGCTTCACCTTGCACAGGATGTAAGAGGGTGCCCAATAAACTAGCCCCCTCATGGGCAATTTAAAAAAAATCTAAATTCATCATGCTTACACATGGAACACATGTACAAAACTTGGTTAAAATCCTTCAAATCATCAAAGGTGGGCACGGGCAACTTTTTTTTTTGCTCCGCAACCATAACTCTGCTGAAATAGTTGTGCCACAAGTGCAACCGCAACGCACAACTTTAAAAAATAAATAAATAAACAAATACTAAAATAAAAAAATTTGCCTATTTACAAGTAAAACAAAATATAATTGATACAAAAAAGTTAATATTATCAATATTTTATTACAAAATTAAAAAAAAATTCCTCACTGCCACTGGCTTCAGTCTCAGTGGACTGGCTGTCAACAGTCTCAGTCACTTCAACTTCCGTGTCCACGTCCTGGTCGGCAGGATCACTGCTGCCGGCCTCGTCACAAAACAATCCATAATACTAGTAATAACAAGAAACTGACGCCTTAACTGCAGTGCTACTGACTGCCTGACTGGTTATGATATGAGTCATTCCTCCCTCCCCTTCCCTCACTGTAGCTGCCAGATATCATCTTTCACATTAACTCTAGTTTCTAGAGTTTATGTGAAAGATGAAATCTGGCAACTACAGTGAGGGAAGGGGAGTGAAGGAGTGACGGAGAGGGGGGAGGGTGGTGAGGGTCTCATCTGGTTTACAGTTCAGAAATATGCTGCCGACCTGTATCATGTGTACGCTGAATCATTCCATCAGAAACAGAAATTTTCGCAATGTGCGGCTCTAAAGATGCCCGTTTGTTTATGCGGTCGTACAATTCAATTATTGACGAAAAATTTGGCCCCTTGCGCTTGAAAATGCTCGTATGAGTTGTGCTGCAACCCGTGCCGCAACGCCCACCTTTGCAAATCATGCACGAGATATGCTACAGAAAGTAACTTTTAACCTGCTCACTAATCTGGAGAGACAACAGGATCAAATACTGAAGTACTCAACCATTTGAAGGGTGAATATATATATTTTTTTAATACTTACCACGGAATTGTATGGAGTTCCATTCCCTGTTCACGTAACATGCATGCCAAAGGTTGCAATCCTACTTCAATTTTTCTTCTCTTGTTAGGCCTGTTGCCCACTGTACCACTGGTCTGGATGCTGCTCAGCTGGGTCACATCGAGAACTCCATATCCTTTGGCATCTTCAAAAATCTACAAACAAACAATATACTGTACGAATGAGTCACTTTCGATTGGAGTGATTAATATGCCAATTCTTACTTATAAGATAACTGAAGTAAGAGTTTGCAAACTTTATTTTTGTTGCAATTCCATAACCAACCTTCAGCTGTTAATGAACCAGGTGTTAAAAAATGGAAAATTTAACAAACTTAATGGACCATAAAAATATTTGTGATAACACCTGCTCTACAGAACAGGTGTGTTAATTAACCCTAACCCTGGTACCTGTAATAAATGAACAAGTAGCATAAAAATAAATACTGTACAGAAATGGAAATGTACGACACTCACCAGCCCAGAATCTGTTTTGGGGTGTGTGTGTGTGTGTGTGTGTGTGTGTGTGTGTGTGTGTGTGTGTGTGTGTGTGTGTGTGTGTGTGTGTGTGTGTGTAAATAATAAAAATAATAATAATAATAATAATAATAATAATAATAATACTGTAAATGATTTATTAATAGAGTTGCAGCCAGTGGCTGAAAATATACAAACTTACATGTGATTTAGACATAATAATACAGTCTCTCCTCGACTTACGACGAGGTTCCGGACCGACGACCAGGTAGTAAGTTGAATTGGTCATAAGTCGAAAAGGCGAAAATAATACATAGAAAATCTAAAATGAAATACGGTTCATTTTCATATTGCATTATTATTTTCATTTTCATCTCAAAAGTAATTGAGTCTCTTTTTCTTCTGAGCACCACCAGAACTCCCATTTTATGCTTGCCAACCCTTTAAAAGGGAATTACGTAACGACACACGAAATATCCTAGTAGGAGTAATCTACAGAAGACTACACACTAATGTCAGATTTTTCTTGATAAATTTTCGGAGCTTATCACTATCATAATTTCAGAGAGGAAACGTTGCTACATTGCAGGAGATTTCAACCTTGATATAATAAAATCAGACACTGACACCTCAGTATTAGACCTTCTTGCTATCCGTCATTCTAAACTCTTCTTCAACACTATAACCAAACCCACTAGAGTAACTGCCACCTCTGCCACTGTGATAAATCATATCTGGACTAACAACACTCCAAACAATCTTGCAAGTAGAATTATTTATAACAATATCTCAGATCACTCCCCAGTTTTTGCCATGTAACAGCCACAAGACCTGAAAGGTCTAGTAGTCTCAATACAATACAGAGCCTACTGCACCGACAACATGCTCCTTTTTTAAAACAACCTAATGAATGCTAACTGGGATTTTGTCTATTCCTCCGACAACCCTAACGTGAACAGCTGCAACTTCTCTTGCATCTTCAATGTTTACTTTGATAAATGCTTCCCGCTCAAGACTAAGTCAGTGAAAACTGTATCCATTTCCAAACCATATATCACAAGCAAAATTAAGATAATGATAAAAGAAAAACACAAACTCCAAAGGAAATTTGCAAAAAGACCCATAACTTTCGGCGATGCTTACCGAAGTATCAGAAATAGAGTAACTCAAGCAGTTAGAAATGCCAGACGTAACTACAGTATTATATAAATAAGCTCCAGTCAGCATCAGACGACGGTAAGAAAACCTGGAATGTCATAGATTCTATTCAGAACAGGAACACTCGGCCTTTGGCCCCCCCCACTCAGCTTTTATGATAAATGATTCAGTTGTAATAGAACCCTCCCTCATTGCCAACCACTTCAATGAATATGTAATTAATGTTGGCAAAAATCTTAGAGAACATCCCTGATCATCATGAGCAATTTAGAGCCTACCTGCCAAACAGACAGCAAAATGAGCTGTTCTTAGCCCCAGTCACAGCTGATGAATTACTGGCCATCATAAAAATGTCCAAAGATGCAGCAGCAGGCGAAGACAATATACCAATGAGCATCATTAAGAAAGTAGCCCACTTATTGCTACCTGTTCTCCTACACATTTGTAACTCCTCCTTCACTAGTGGTGTCTTTCCTAATAAACTGAAAATTGCTAAAGTTCACCCAGCATATAAAAAATTTGGGGACAAAGGTCTCTTCAAGAATTACCATCCCATATCAGTCCTCCCAGCCTTGAGTAAAATACTGGAGAAGCTAGCATGTAGTTGACTAAATTCCTTTTGCAATGCCAATGACCTCTTTACAAACTCCCAGTTTGGATTTAGAACTAGAAGGTCGACTGAGAGTGCTCTGCGTCCTTTACTAATGACATCTTAAATTCCTTTGATGACAGTTAGTTCACAGTCAGTATTTTCTTGGACCTCTCTAAAGCCTTCAACCATACCATGCTCCTTTCAAAGCTTGAACATTACAGCATTAGGGACCTGTCCCACAATTGGTTTACCTCATATCTGTCCAACAGGATGCAGTCTGTCTGCTATAATAATCACCAATCTGACTCCTTGCCAATCTTGTATGGCATCCCCCAAGGTTCCATTCTCGGTCCAGTACTGTTTTTGTTGTACATAAGCGATATAGTCCACGCCAGCTCACTCATAAAATACAACTTATTTGCAGACGACAGTAATCTCTATGCCAGCAACTCAGACCTCCATTCCTTGATGAGAACTATGAACACTGAATTGACTAACGTCAGGACCTGGGTAATACGTAATAAACCCATTGTAAGTGGTATTCAAACTTATGATACTCGCTGATTTAGGAGGAATTTTTATTTTTATTATTGTTTCATTTTGGTGCTGGTGAGTTGAATCTATGGTTGCCTGGATCCTGGATAACTGGGATTCTACTGTACTATCAAACACCATGTTAGTGTTTCTCTCACCCACAGATTCTTCAATTTAACTCAGTGATCATAGGTCAATTTTTTTATAACATAATGTACATGGCCAGGAAGCAGTCATGGTCTTAAACAGTCACGGTCTTACACTGCAAGGAGACAGCTACAGTATTACCTTATGTGAGTTTCACTGTACCTTATTGGGATAAAATTTGCAATGTAAAAAAGTTCAAAGTAAAATGTTGGATTGAGCAATAGTATAGTAGTGTTTGAAAGTAAAGTATTACATCAGTAAAATGTAAACAAGGAAGAGTGCTGGAGGTTGTAAATGTACTTACCGGTATTTAATTTGGAGCATTGTTTAGCATTTACACACACTTGCAGGGTCTCAATTGTTTCTCTTACTATTGACAACACAACATACTGTACATATATTATTTATCACTTTTAATATATTTGTTTAATTTTTGTATTTCTTTAAGGTTCTCTATTATTATTATTATTATTATTATTATTATTATTATTATTATTATTATTATTATTATTATTATTATTATTCGGTTAACGAACAAAAATTTTATTAACAAAATCCTTACGAACAACATGTTTGGTTGTGAACATCAGCTGATCAGCTGATGGGCTAGTCTGCCAATTCAGTAATCTGTTCTATGTTTACATTCGTTTCCAGTTGAGTAAATATAAAGAAAGTTGTGCTCTATAATATTTTTGCATTTTTTATATTAAAATTATTAGTAATTTTAACATTTATTTAACATATTGATAATATATGCAGTAGAGGAAACTAGTTTTTTCTGCTCCCATCAGATGCTTGAGTCGGCCACAAGGCGTCAGTTGAGCTTTGAAAACAGTGGAGTGAGCATCTATTTTGTTGGTGTCTTGAATATTTTTGCATTTTTCATTGAAATTATTGGTCATTCTGAACTTTAGTTAACATATTGATAATATATAGCACAGTGCAGTGTTGATTTAAATAAAATAATCTTGAATTACACCTAATGAACTTAAAATTTTATTGGTGAAATGAGGCATTAAGCATGGTGTCAGGGCTGTTATGAGCAGGATGGTTGCCGCCGCTCGTTTGCTTGTTCGCGTCCCCCACTTGGGAGGGTAGACGGAGGTGGGAACGTGACTGCTGCCTCGACACACAGATCAGACACTACCCAGCCGTCAGTCACAGCTGTACTTGCACCCCGCTGTTTGTTCAAATTCTGGTTGTGATCTCATCACAGGTCCTGGACTCGTAGGCTGTTTACCCAGACCTTCACAAATCGACTGTCAATCTCCGGACACCTATCCCAGCTACTACCGCGGCTGCCACATCATAGCCACTTCCTCCACACCGTCTGTGCCACGGTGTCTCTCCTGTGTAGCGAGACATCGCCCGCTGGCGCCAAATGAGGAAGCTGACTTGACCTTCCCCGAGAGTGGATCACTGCTTTCCAAAACCTTCCACAGGGCCGTCGCCGTAGGAAATATCTGTTCATTGTTTGACTCCCGTAATTGTTTGATTCCCTTAAATGTTGACCCCATTACCGGGTAATTGTTGACTCCCGTAATCGTTTGACTCCTGTAATTGTTATTTGATGTTTGTGTGAGTGGTGTCAGAGTTTTGTGTTATTTTCATAGTAAAGAAATGTCTATCTCGAACGGTTGTCTGTTATCCCTCAGAAAACCATGGTTCTTAACTTTCCTTTAATAAGATCCTTATTAGGCTGGCAAGGGGTTCATATCCCTAAGTCCCAGGCCTTTACACATGGGTCCCCTGAAAGGTGATTTCTCCTCCATCCCCACTTCCTTCTCTTCTCCCTTCTCCTCCACCCCCACTTCTAATTCCCATCATCATCATCAACCAGGAACCTTCTACATACACACCTCAAAGTAAGTGTACTTTACTGCATTTTTTTTACTTTGTATATACTTTTCGGTGAGCTGGAACCAATTACCCAATATCTCATTGAAACAATGGATTCGGTTAATGAAATTTTCGGTTAATGAACGACTCTGTGGAACGAATTGTGTTCGTTATTATTATTATTATTATTATTATTATTATTATCATCACATTTTTGCCCCCCAGGCCCTCATGTGGGTTAGTGACCTGTGACCGGGTGGGCTAAGTGTAAAAAATATAATGCATGTTAGCCCTGAGAGCAAAGATAAAATGATAGTATGGATGACAATGACACTAACCCAGATGGTGAGCTTGGGTGGTCATGGCTCAAACTACATGATACACTCAAGATAAAAGTGAGAGTAATTGTTCACACTAATTACCTTGTGACAGAGTCTTGCTATTAATGTTACCAGAAGTGGAGGTATGGTGTAAGGTTTAGCATTTAAACTAGAACCTTGAGTAACTTTGTTCTTCAGTGCTATCTCATCTAAGTGATCAACTAGAAGTTGATAGATGTGGTGCAGACACTGCTGCCATCTAGGAGAATCATGAATGAAAGTGCTTTCTTCACTCATCTTGCCATCTGAAAATAATTTTTTTTAACATATTACTTATGTGACATAGCTCTCCCCACCACCAAGATCCTAATTCTTGGTATAAATAGCAGTAACCTGTATTTTGGGTTCATCCCTTTGAAAAAGTCTTGTGATGAAACATCATGAATAAAGTTCCATCTCTTAGTGGTGTTTCCTTCACGACCAATATTTAGCTTATTTCATGAATGAACTCTCATTGAGAAGAATATAACATCATTGTAAACTTACCCTTTTGTGGACAGTGTATTAGTATCTGCAGGTTGATATACTCAAGCCAGTGCGTCTGACGAGCAGAAGGACAACTCTCCCACATGGTTAATACTGAATTCAGTGTCTCTTCACCAACACTACACACCAAATATCGCCATTCACTTCCCATCTGAAGAACAAACATACATGTTTACAAATATGAAATTAATCTAAATATTTTAAAGAAGTTTTAAATTAAAAATTTTCTTTTATCCTTTAATAAGTTACCCTCAATAAGAACATTTTCAAGTCAAGTGTAAGAGTTTGTGAAGGTATGACAAAAGTAAGCCTACATCTTTAACTGTCTACCTCCCTTCATATACCCGCCAAATATTCCCCGTCTCATTACTACCATATATACTCGGTGAACGAGAGCTACCCGGTACAGTACGTGCTTTATCCTTGACTACCATACCCCTAGATTCATTCTTTATGATGTTACATGAAGAACAGAACCTCATTCAATATTTATGTCACATTAAATATACAAATACCTGATAACAATGAATATTTACAGATACTTTTCATTTGTTTGCATCTGTTTACATCGCTGGGAAATTTTCAACTGTTCCCCACCTGTAGGTTATATGTTATGTTATTATTATTTTATACTTAATTTCAGTTAGATATTCATATTTTTTTCAGTTATCTGCACACACAATCCTACATACAGAATGAGCAACAAAAAAAATAATAATCATAAGGTTAAAAAATATAAAGGGAATAAACATTTCTTCATGTGCCAGAGTTGGCACACTGAGCAGGGAAGGGAGGATCAGTAGTGTGTGGGAGCACCATTGTTATGAGTAGGTGGAGGCAGCATAGCTGCATTGCTATGGCAAACATTGAGGCCGGGCAGCCTGTCTCCTTGGTAAGTTCTGAACACCTTTTCTCCCAGAGATCCTCAGTGGTGTTGTTTTACTTTTTCTTTCTTTAGAGGCCATAATAATACACCAGTGAAACACTAAATACAGAAAAATCCTGAATGCACATGTGGAAACTGACTCCTCTCCCAACTGCCACCCCAAGAACCCCCCTAAGTCAGAGCTTGTCCAACTTATGCAGGTTTCTGACTCACAGAAGCCAGCCGAGGTGAATTACTGTTTGAGCCGTATTTGAGCATTCACATGCCCTAACATTTACACCTCTCCCCAGTCACTCCCTGCTGTGAATATCTTCATAATCACAAGTAATCATTATAAGAAGGTTTTCCTTGGGCCTTCACTATGAGAACAAAATTTGAATTAAAATAATTTTTTGTTCAAAACTTTTCTAGTAAATTTATAAGCCTTTACCAATAGTTATTTTTTTATGAAAATAACTGGAAATCCTTAACACTGAATCATTCATAGCATGAGAAAATTATTAGTTTTTTTATTAAAATATCAAACAAAGCACCAGTGTTGTCTGTTGCTTCACACAACTTAGCATCAGCAGCTCATCCAGCCCCCAAAATATTTTAATGAAAGCTCTGGTCATTAACACATAATATTGCTTCTTGGATGTCCATCCATAGCTTCTATATTAGTCCTTTACCTCATCTTTCCATTCCCATTTTTGTCTTCCTGTCTCCCTCCTACCGTCCACCTCTGTATAATACATTTTATTCACCAATCTTTCACTCATCATTCTCTAATGGTGTCTAAACCACCTGAGTAAACTCTGTACTGTTCTTTCCAATACTTATTTTGTACAGTATGGTCTGGATTTACGCGGTTTTGGTTAATGCGTTTGGTCATTTACGCGGTGCTTTGCCAGAATGTAAATGCTTTAATTACGAGGTAAATTTGGTCATTTACGCGGAGAGAGGCTGGAGATCCAGACACTCCACTCCATTTTTTATTCAAGCGGTCCATTCTCGACCATACACGGGAAGCGGCGAGGTGAGTGGTGCGCATTAGGCCGCTCTTACGTTATCGCTGATGTCATGTGACGTATCGGACTGTGATTGGGCCACGCATCCTTACCACCCACGTATTCTCTCCGCCGCAAGCTGTGATTGGTCTAATGTAACATGATGTGCCCTGCCACCAGAGGGTAGAAGTCGCTGACCTAGCAGGGCCTGTCTCATTGTTCTCAGTCCGCGTATACAGTTCTCTCTTGTGCCTGCTATTCCCCTCACAACTCACAATGGCTTCCGCGGGACCCCCACCACCAGAGAAAAACATTGAATTACCTGGACCAAGCCATGATAATGTGAAGGAAATCATCGAGTTAGGGGAGAAAATTAAGCTCATCCTTGACAACGACCCAGACAAGCATCGGTATGAAGTGTCTAACCACCTTCTGACGAAAGTTATGGAGCCGTATATCCAGATCTATCTCGACAACATCAATGCTAGTCGTCAAAGTAGTATTGAGGACTTCCTTGCCCGTAACCCACCACAACCACAGCCAGCACAAGTCAGTGATAGTGATAGTGATACTGACAGTGAAGATATGGACTTTGAGAGGTTTGTCTGGGAGGTCCTGCAAACCTCTGCGAGTAGTGAAGTGAAAGTGATTCACCGGAGGGCAACTAATCTGCCCTCTGCCTCGGAACCAGCCACCATCCACGTGTGCCGACCCAGCTTTTCTACTAACGTAAGTGTTAAAAAACCTAATATTATTGATATTTCTCTTCTATAGTATGTGTGTGTGCATACCATCATAAATCAAGATACTATTTTTACTACAACGTACGTATTGTGTCGGAAAAAGTGGAGTTTGGGGGTCGGCCCAGTCTCTATTTCAATTAATCCCATATGTTCTGTTATTTCGTTTACGCGTTTCTCTTTTTACGCGGATCTCCACGGGTTCAATTGACCGCGTAAATGCAGACTATACTGCATTTAAATTTCTTTTTTATTTCTGTATTTTTTGTTCTCTACATTTTTCATCCCATATGCAGAACATAAATATCTACTATGGCAATAAGATTGAATGACAACAAATGCAGGGAGTGTCTGTATGCATGTGTATTCTTAATTTCAGCCACACAGCATAACAGCAGCAGAAAGCATAAAATGTGGGGGAATAATAAAATTAAATAAATAAATACATAAGGCAAATAAATATAAAAACTTACAGCCTTAGTAAATGTGAGCAGAAGTTTAAGTAAACTGGACTGAAGATTATGATGAGATGTCAATTTTTTGTTTGCCAGAGCCCTCTTGAGAAATGATGGCATAGGTCTTAAGACTTTAGTTGGGACAAAATCTTGGTGTTGAATTCCTCTCATTTTACAACACTTTATAATACCTTCCATAACACTGACAGTGGTCCGAGCATCAGTACTGGGGAGGTTATTATCATACACCCATATGCATGTTCTCATTAGATCTGTGGAGATAAATATTCATTAATTTTTTTTTTTAGTTTATTTGATAACTTAAAGCCTAAAGTTTAACCACCCTCAAACTACAGTATCTTGGGAAGGGGGTGGGGGGGGGCTAATCTTAAAGTGATCCATCAAGGCCAAAATTGTCAATGGTCTCACTTGTGGTGACGAATACGTTATTCTTTATCAACTTTCTGAATCCTGGGTCCACATATATTTGTTGCCTTAACAATCAGTTTTCTAAAGAAATTTCAACCATCATCCCAAAACTTGTTGAAATCACATCATCTACTTAGTTCAGACTTGTGCTTACCAATAATGAACTTGAAATGACAAAAAGAATATTATGTTGCTATTCAGTGGCATGTCCAAGGGGTGGCCACAGCCCCCCCTGAAATCTGAGTGGCCCCCCACTCAAAGTGGTGAGATGCGTATGGTGATAAGACCTGAAGAGCAAGAGTTTCTTGGAGGAGGAAGCTGTATTTTGCTTAACAGAGATCTATGAGAGTGAAGTTGAAGATCTCAGCAATGAGCTGCACCAAGGAAAGAGGATTTTGGAAAGGAAAGCTCAAAGTGGAATGCAGAAGCTGTCCAGTGTATTAGAGCTAACGGTGCTCCTAGAGCCCTACAAAGAGGTCTTTAATGAACTGTTTCATCTGTGCAGGATTGCCTTGGCTCTCCCAGTAAACAGCGCTACCTGTGAGCGCAGCTTCTCAGCTCTTAAACTCATAAAGAGCCGTTAACACACAACTATGGCAGACAGCAGACTGAGTAACCTGAGTGTTCTCAACATTGAGGCTAGAAGAGTTAAGTCATTAGACATGGACAAGTTTATTAAAATGCTCTCACTATCCAGCATGACAACAGGTTGTTCTCAAGGTGTACAGTATAGCTTTGTAATACGAGGGTTGTGGCTTTGAGCTTTACCTATGTTCTTTTTTGTGTTCATGTACTGTATTACGGTGTGATTTTGAACAATGTTCATTATATTATTAAAATTTAATTTATATTTCTTTCATATTATATTCAATAAATGGAGTTAAGTGGATTATTATCTTACTATGTAACTTTATTACTCTTAGATGATTATTAGGTTACTGTGGTGTGACCTCATTTGGACATTACTTGTTAGAAATAGGCTTGTTTGAATGGGTAAAATGCATATTTTCTTCCCTGAAAACATGATTAGGTGGAAAATTGAACAGCAGAAGCATCTTGAGTTATCTTTATTCTCCAACAGGCTTAAGTTGGTACTATTTTACGTTATAGTTATAGCAGACACTTTAGTGTTGTGTGCTCCTATAGCATCCTGGCCTTGAGTTCAAACAAGGAAATAGATAATGTTATGAGTTTTGAAACTGATGTATGAATTATTTCAATAGGAAGATGCACAAACCTAACTTGAAGCATTAAATTCAATGAACCGCTGTATTTACGCAATTCCATAGCCTGGCATTCATTTGAAATTTTATATGCCCTGGCCCCCCCACACCGGGTCTGTGTCTCACCTTGACCACCCCATCCAAAATGTCTTGGACATGCCACTGTTTTATTTTTTAAACCTGATATTACCAAATTTACTGTTACTCTTTACAGGGTGCACACAAAAGCTTCCTTCACTGGGCTCGTTAATATTTTATTTGTGTTTGTCATCCCTCACCATAAACCTCCTGGCCTAACATGGAGTATTCTCTCATACAAGGGCTCAATACCACAACCTTACTCACCTTTGTTGGATAAAATACAATGCAAAAGATAATTACCTCATCATTACTTGAACACCAAATTCCTTTAACACTCTCTATCATGTCAGTTCATGCCTCAAATGTCTCCTTTCTACTACTATTGCTATGGCCAGTGCCCTAATCAAAACCAGACTCATGACTCTCATTTTCTTCCATTCAATCCCAGTTACAATACACGTCACTCCTTATCAAGCCAGCCATATTTATTCCAGAATCTCTTCAGTCACGGTTCATCATCATTCCCCACCTTTGTTCCTCACACTCCTCCATTTCTGAAAATCATTGTTATCTTACCTCTTCCATCCTTTCACAAGTTATAACTCTTTAAAGATAGAGAATGCATTCATATCGTCTAACAGAATTATAAATTTTCATCTTTTCTATTCAGGAAGCATTAAACAAGCCTACCTTGAATATAGGTCACTAACATTATTCTTGCCCGAAAGAGATTACACTCGCATATTTCTCCCCTAATCCAATACAGCAAAAAAAAAAAAACTTTAAGCTGTGTTTGTGAAAGCTATGCCTCTTCTGACCATAAAATATTAGGTCCAAAGCCCAGGAAAAAAAAAAATTAGTAGCTTAAAATCTTAGGAGGTATTCTCAGGATACACACAATAAAATCCTACAGTTAGTGTGCACTGGTGTATGAATATACTATCTGGAAGTGCCAGTAGGCATGATTTACCTCTTGTAGCATTTTCTCTTACCTTTCCAGTTTTCCACCGGTACCACCAAATGATATTGAGGAAAACGTAACAGATAGTTTTGTGTAATTTGAATGACGTCTCCTGCAAAGTTTTCAAGCAGATAGGGTCGGCTTCTGTTGAGTACTGTCAGTACTAGGTCTAAAACATGGTGAGCAGCCACATGTGGAGTTTCTGGGGAAAATTTGTTTTTAATATTTTTATAAAACAACAAAGAAACAACTACAGTATTCCAGTATTTATAAAATATGATTAAAATATAATGACACATTTCCCACTATGGCTGTGTTTGTTTAAAAATCACGACTTTTTGCTAATCAACTTAATTTTCAATGACCTCAAAAATAAATCAAAAGGTAATTTAGAGTCTCCTTGTTCCCTTATAGTCCCCCATCAACATATTTAAGTATTAGGTTAAACTGACAATAGTTAAGCCATATTTTTTAATTTATCAACAAGTGAACCACATCACAAAGTCTTCTATTTAGTCATCCATATATAGCACAGTACAGGTTTAATGATGGGGGTTATAGCACAGTACAGGTTTAATGATGGGGGTCGAGTTCCTAAACAAAAATAATGTTACACAAATTTATCACAAAAAATGGTTAAGTGGGGATGCAGCTTACTCTCAAATAAAAATTTAGTAAAACCTCGAAAATACCCATAAGTATTACTGTAAATCCTTGTGCGCTCTAGCACCACCTCTAACCAGTCCCCGCCACCATTACTACCTTACCCCAAGTCAACTTACTCATCTACCCCCTGTACCTGTGAGTTGGTTTACAAAAATGCAAGTTCAGTCAGCCGTACCTGTGTGTGAAGCCCTTAAGGTAGACGTCTACTAGCTAGTGCAGAGGTGCAACTCATTTTTTATGCATCTGCCTTATTGTTAATTATGTTGTGTGGGATCATATAAATCAAAGATCCTGTAAGTGTTCCCGATAATGAAATTTTTTATCTCTGTAACGAAACAAGATACTGTATGTATTGTAATAGCCTCTTTCTACAGATAACCATAGGTACATAGTATGCAGCTACCAAACAGGGAAGTACTACCGCCTGAGAAGATATTGGAAGCATAATGTGACAGACCCAGCTGCCATATGTGACCAAGTCCCAGGTTGATGATCTGACTTTCTGCCTCAATTACACACAGTTGCAGGGTCTCAATTGTTTCTCTTACTATTGACAACACAACATACATACATTGTTTATCACCATAGATCTTTTTGTTTCATTCTTTTTTTACTTATTTAAGGTCCTTTATTATTATTATTAATATCATTGTTGTTGGTATTATTATTATTATTATTATTATTATTGTTGTTATTATCTTATTATTATTATTATACTATATTTTTATTTAATATTGTTTTTTAATTTTTCATAAATTTTTATTGTTTATTAATTTTCATTGTTTATTAATTATTATTATTATTATTATTATTATTATTATTATTATTATTATTATTATTATTATTATTATTATTATTATATTTTCATCCCCAGGCCCTAATGTAGGTCATTGACCTGTGCCCTGGTAGGCTAATCCCATAAAAAAATGTGTATATTTTATCTGAATTAATAATTTTCTTGCACCTGCCAAACTTTAAAGTAGATTATCCAAGTCCCCATAAATCAGAAAAGCACCTGAATTTTCTTGGTTCAGAAGAGAAAATTAGGCCACAATCAGCACAACAAAATACTTACAGATCTTACCACAGCAACTGGACTATTTGGCTTATCAGCTGAATGGCATATTATTAAAAATAGGACAACTAATTTAATCCCCAGGACTGCTAGGTTTTAAATGTCAATCAATACAGAAAATTTTGCTATTAAATGAATGTAAGTCAACAGTGGTTTATCTGGCACTCAACCATTGCCAATATGTTAATAAGAAATAGCCCAAGTTTGAATGTAAATGGAAGTGTTTAATATATTCCATGTAGCAAATGTAATTGTAATTATGTAGGACAGACAGGAAAAACACTGCAGCTCAGAATCAAACAACATAAGTACAATATCAGAACAGCATCTGAAAGCAGTGCCCTGTTCGTTCATGTTGGGAATAATAATCATCCCATTACTTGGGAAAAAAGCTTAGAAGTATTCAAATCATCTTGTGTCAACAGAAAGACTTCTGGTTGAAGCTAGTTTGATTAAGGAATTAAAATCAATAAACATTAGTGATGGTCAGTTCAAAACTGATAATATGTTACATAAATTTATTTGTCAGTGACCCAAGGTTAAAAATGCTTTGAAAACCTTTGATCTAGATGTAGGATAGTTATTTAGTGGGTCCCTTATTTTTGACCTGACCTGACTAGTCACGTCACCCCCCTTCTCTTAAGCTCCTCTACGTGTGTGTTGGTGTGGGGATTAGTGGATGACATCATTATGACCTGACCTCATGTTTAATAAGGTCACCCTGTATATTTAAGCCTCTCTCTGTCCATGTAATCCAGTTGCCTCTGAAGATGTCTTGAATAAAGACGAAAGCTAAGGTGCTCCGTTGTTTCCCTTTTCCCGTGTGATTTTATCAAGATTTATCTTATCCACGTTTTCATTGTGGATCTACATGATATATATATATATATATATATATATATATATATATATATATATATATATATATATATATATATATATATATATATATATATACTGTATATATATACTGTATATATATACTGTATATATATATATACTGTATATATATATACTGTATATATATATACTGTATATTTTTTTTTTTCATTTAGTAAATTGCAAACAACAGTAGGTCTCACTTTTCATCAGAATAAAATGTGTTGGTGGTTATTTGGTTGGGTTAATTATTATTACTCACTTAGGGAAGACTTTTTTAAAACGAGCTTTGGTAAAGCTGCAGCACAACATTTCTGATTGGCCCTGCTTTTAAGAATCGTCTGTGAAGCATCTGGTTTTTTCCTTTCTTCTTCCTCAAGTTTTTGGCACTCCTAGAATGATATGAATGACCTTAGCACAAAAAAATATAACAGCTAAAACATATTCTTAAAACATCATGAGTAACTTATAGACTACTCTATCAACTGCCACCAAGACGTGTTCTTCTGAGGGGTTATCTCCACCTTTTAATTACTTACCTGCAACAACCCCCTGTGATGGAATGTCTCTATTCATGAAGCCCTGATAATTATTCCATCTGACATGTTGATGAATCCACCATTGGTATTAAAATAATGGCACCAAATTACAATACCCTCCAGAGCATCCTAAACACTCTCCAGAATTGGATTATCATCAACCATGTCACCAGAAACACACACACACATGCACTCCTCTAACCGTAATTGAAATACTGTGTAACATTCAGTGCCATAATATCCTGACAACGGGGGTTAATTATTATGACCCATTGTATTCTCTCCTCTGTAATCCTTTTGCGCTACCGCTCACAGGATGAGTGTGGGGTGCACAATAAAGTAGCCGCTGTAAGCGGCAAAATAAAAAAATCAATCTAGCCATATTACACCTTCATTTATTTTGACATTAATATAGATGACCAACTAAACTGGAAATAAATGTCAATAGAGTAAACCCTCGATAACTCTGCACAGACGGGGCTCTGGCCCTGCCGAGTTATCCTGCATCCCGACTTATCGAGGCACTTTCCTCCTACAAAAATACAACAATAAAAAATTATCGACCCATATATGTTTACATGCAATTACTAAATGTAAAAAAGTAACCCTAACCAGCACTGCAGGTGAAGAATGAGGCATTATAGTAGGTGACACAAGGCATGGTAGGTGACACAGAGGCATAGTAGGTGACAGAGGCATGGTAGGTGACACAGAGGCATGGTAGGTGACACAGAGGCATGGTAGGTGACACAGAGGTATGGTAGGTGACACAGAGGCATTGGTGGGTGACACAAAGCATGGTGGGTGACACAGGAGGCATAGTGGGTGACCTGGGGCATGGTGGGTGACACAGGGCATGGTGGTGACACAGAGGCATGGTGGGTGACACAGGGCATGGTGGAGGCACAAGGGCATGGTGGGTGACACAAGGCATGGTGGGTGACACAGGGCATGGTGGGTGACAAGAGGCATAGTGGTGAAGAATGGGCATTATAGTGGGTGTAAGGTGGTGTGGTGACACAGAGGCATGGTGGGTGACCAGGGGGCATGGTGGGTGACACAGGGGGCATGGTAGGTGGGGCATGCATGGGTGACACAGAGGCATGGTGGGTGACTGGCATGGGGTGGGCATGGTGGGTGGCATGTGGGTGACACAAGGCATGGTAGGTGCATGGTGGGCATGGTGGGTGGGGCAAGGTGACACAGGGCATGGTGGGTGACACAGAGGCATGGTGGGTGGCAGGTGGTGGGTGGGCATGGTGGTGCATGGTGGCATGGGGTAGGCAGGTGACACAGAGGCAGGTGCATGGTGGGGCATGGTGGGTGACAGAGGCATGGGGTGGAGGCTGGCTGGGCAGGTGGCAGGTGACACAGAGGCATGGGGTAGGCTTGGGTGACACAGAGGCATGGTAGGTGACACAGAGGCATAGTAGGTGATGCAGGTGGCCAAATATGACGAGATTTTCCCAGATAATTTTATATATCTCGGCATTTCCCGAGTTATACTAATACATTCCGAGACCATATCCATGCAGTTATATGAAATGCCAAGTCATCGAGGGTTTACTGTACTATCATAAATTTTCTAATATCTTCCAAATCCTTTATTGGCTCAAGACCCTTGGATTTCCTTTGTCAGGCTCAAGAATATTTACACATGGTGGTTTGTGATGGTAAGATTTGAGCACTCTGTAACATTTCAACCCATGGACTTATTCATCCCTCACATATACAGTACAGTACATTCCTATATTGTCCACCTTCAATTTTTATATTTTTTGCTCTGCTTTTATTTTTCCATAATCTTGGCCTCTCTCCTTATTTTGGATTATGTCAGTTTGGTTCTTTGATTTGTTGCCAAGAGTGGCTAGTTATTTCAAAATACTTTCCATCAATTCTTAGTTTTGTCATGCCGTCACATACTGCCATAATGCAACGCCATACTAGACGCGACTATTTACTGTTGGAGCTTCTTTTACAACATACAATATTACAATGTTATCCAGTAAGAGAGTCGTGATAAGGAAAACACACAAGGATACATCGAGTCCTTAGACACATCGTCACAGACAAGGCATTCGGAGAAACTGAAACTTGTTGACAATGAAGACCCGTACAGAATTCCCAAATCAAGATGGTCGATAAACCCAGATACTTTCCCACCGATAGCGAACATGGACATTATAACTTACACGATTTATAAAAAAAAGTGTTTATACACTTGATGAACTCAGGGCATACAAGTCATTAGATGCTTACAATTTTTTTTCATCTATGGATGGGTTAAAGAAGTGAAGTGTACCAACTTCGGTGATAATATTCTAGTGTTCGGCAGAGTTCGCCATTTGAGTGAATGCCACACCATTAGTCATGGTTAATTGTCAAGGTAAGTGGGGAAGTACAATGTGCCCATTGTAATTGTATGGCCGGTCCAGGAGAAGCCTGTAGCCTACCTTCAATGAAATGGTCAGAACAAACCTTGAAATGTTTGGAAGGCAACCACCCTTTTCTGTTTACCTAAGAAATCCACAAATCCCTCCTCTTCGTAGACAATTCCTGTGTTTTATCTCCTTGATTATAACTGACAGCAGGAAAAGTGAGGAATGATCAGGGTTTGTCTTTCTTCTTAGATGTATTGTGGCATCCGACAACACATGAATTCACCATTATGTAGAACTTACGTTTACAGAGTACGCATGTTTGTTTATGATAGCGTCTATACCTACAAGATGGCGGATAGCTTAAAGGATTATGGGAGTTGAAACGGCGATGCAAACTAAGAATTGTTGCATTTGGCTTCAATTACTGTACTGTATATGCCTCTTGGCTTGTGATAAAAATTATAGCCTAACCAGCGACTCTTTACCGGAACCTCTAATTTTCTCTCATAGCTTTGGTCAAACTATAGGTGCTATATCAAAGGGTCTACTATTTCTCAAAATTAAGTGATTGTTAGCCAAATTTATGTACTATACTGCAATTCATTTGTGGGTTGTTACACTAAACCACACAAAAATATTATTAATTTTGATGTAGAAGTCATAAACAAGCTTGTGGAGATGGACATAACTTTCCCAAAACTATACAGTACAATAAAAGTTCTCTTAGGTACCAGAACAGGTATGCAGAATATTGCTATTATGAGAAGTTTCAGAGTTATACAAGATGTTTTCCAAGAGACCTCTTTTTGTTCCAAGTACAGTACAATAGAGTACAGTACAGTAGAGTACAGAATAGTACTGATTTAGAAATAAGGTGCTAAGTTTTTCTAGCACTGACTTGGACCCAATCATTACCAGTAAACTGTACTGTACTATATTGTACTATGCTGTACTCTACTATACTGTACTGTAATATACTGCATAATATTGTGCTATACTGTACTGTACTAAACTGTATAATACTGTACTATACTATACTGAACTGTATTGCACTGTACTGTATTGTACTGCACTGTACTGCACTATATTGCACTGTACTGTAATGCACTGCACTTTACTGTACTGCACTGTACAGTACAGTACTGTACTGCACTGTACTGTACTTTACTGTACTTTACTGTACTGCACTGTGCTTTACTGCACTGTACTGTACTGTACTGTACTACACTGCATTGTACTGTACAGTACTGTACTACACTACACTGTACAGTACTGTACTGCACTGTACTATACTTTACTGTACTGCACTGTAATCATCAAAAGTTGTACATCTTTTAAGAGTTATAGATGTATTGTGCAGTCACTGTACAACTATTTTCAGTATAAAAGTGAACTAGCTCTCCATTTATTATTAAAAATGTGTAAAAGCTGAACTAAACTAATACAGTGTTGACCGTCACCAACCTTGAGGAAGTATTTCTTCACACTGAAGAAGACTTGGTCCCAGTTGAAGCTGTCACTAGGCCTGGTATCCAAATGTGAAACAATGTTTGAATTATTTAAAAGATGCTGCAGCCGATCGCACCCTTTCTGATGAGTCGAGAAGTGATATAAAATTAATATACATCGTAAACACCGTTGCTTAATATTTTGTTAAATGAAAATTATCTATTACACCTGTATACGTATACGTACCATGAAAATCTGAATTGCTCGAACCTAAGCCGTGTTTGATGTTACCGTAATCGCTTTTCGATTGGTTTTCAGCTAAAAAACTGTTGTATTACAATAATATTCTATCCTAATTGACTTGAATAAATACTACGATACCATGTTTCTGAATATTTTCATTAAAATTCATCCAAATCATTTTCCTTGTCATCGTCTGCAGCACCAAACAGCTTCTCCCAGTCCTCTCCTTGAACAGGGCTAGAGGGCACGTGTTTTTCGAATCGTTTTCAGTTAAAAAACTGTTACATCACACGTATATTTTACCTAAACTGCGCCTGAATGAATATATTCTTGGAAATAAATAGTAGTTTTGCTGAAACGTGATGTATTTCAATGTAAAATAGGATAAAATACATGACGAAAACAAAAGACTTTACCTAACCTTCCGATGTTCTTGAGATGTTATTCGATTTTTTAGTAGTTTTCGGTTAAAATACTGTTATATTACAATGGTATTCTATTCATACTGTGCTTGATATAATACATTCACGGAAATGTAATATTTTTGCTGAAATTACGTACGTATTACAGTGGAAAGTGGGATAAAATCGTGACGAAAACAATGACTTTGAAATAAAATGGAATATTAACCCCTAAATCGGTTAATTCGGACAATCGGCTAAAACGGACACCCTTCCCCCCTATTAGTCCAAATTAACGAGGGTCGACTGTACAGGGTATTTTAATGTAAACAAACCTTTATAAAGCTACTTGAAAGAATTTTTGAGGGATTGTATACTCCAAACATAACATTTCGAAAGGCAAACACCTGGAAAATTAAAGAGTGAACCAATTTATATTTCTCCCTAACTTCAATAGGAGGCATGAAATATATTTAAGGATTACAGTATCAACACTTCAATAAAGACAACAGTCCATGTACATAAAGCTTGCTATATGTAGCTTCCATCTGTTCCTCACCTTGCGGTCTGTGACCCTATTGGAGTCCAGCAGCAAGCAACACTGTTTTATGTCCTCCAGGGCCATTGTTACTGCAGCTGTACAGGAACTGAAATAATGATAATCTTTGAAATTTCTAACTCGGTAAAACAAAATAAAATTAATTACAGCTTTATCAAAATACTTTTCCATTCTACTTATACCTGTACAAGTATTATAAATACAATACTATACTGTACTGTATTTTCTAGATTTATGAACTAATTCAAGCCACTCCTGTTCGTTAAATCAAAAGTTCCGCTAAATCGAGCTTTCCGTTACATTCTCTCGATTTACTGAACTCTTTTGCTAAATCAAGCGCCAAACGCACCACGCATCGCTTGGTGCGTCTGGGTTTGTTTACATCCGCAGTCTGTGTCCTGCGGCCACCGCGTGTGTTCTTCACTGCTAACTCTCGGTCAACTAAGTAAACACTGGAGCACCTTAGCTTTTGTCTGTATTCAAGACATCTTCAGAGGCAACTGAATTTACAGGAACTGAGAGAGGCTTACTGTATATACAATGTTGACCTTATACACATAACATCAAGGTTCAACACAGCATTGAGGACAGTCTTGGTTGTTACACTGAGATCTATAAGGAGATGAAGAAGAGTAGCACCAAGCAGTCAACACTGGATTCATTTGTTCATAGTGGGACGGCATCAGCATCTTCACAACGGCAGAGGAGGAGCACACAGCAGCCAAGGAGGAGCACACAGCAGCCGAGGAGGAGCACACAGCAGCCGAGGAGGAGCACACAGCAGCGAGGAGGAGCACACAGCAGCGAGGGAGGAGCACAGCAGCGAGGGTGGAGCACACACAGCATTATAAAAATCGACATTTACTAAAACCTAATAAAACCTGACCTAACCAACCAAAACCTACCTAACCTTACCTAATTTTTGTTTTTAATTGGGCACCCCCCACACACACATTCTTGTGTAAGATGAAGCGCAGAAGCGATTACAGCGCCCAACAGGGAAGCATGCTAAGTTCATGCTTGCCTTACGTCTCATGAGTTAAGGGCGTAGAAGCCTGAAGAGTCGAGGGCGTAGAAACCTGAAGAGTCAATGGTTTTTATGTCTAAGCAAGTTATTGGAAGCTCCAACAACTTGTCCCTGAATACGAATTTGCAACTTTCGATTTACAGCAGTACCTACTTTGCTGCTAGGTGAACAGGGACCAGGGGGACTAAGAAGAGTGTCCAAACAACTTCCGCCGGCCAGTGAATCGAACCAGTGACATCCTGCTTGCGAGGCAAGAACTACCTAACTTCCTAGCCGGGAGGAGAAAGTTAGGTAGCTCTTGCCTGGCAAGCAAGATGTCACAGGTTCGATTCCCGGCCTAGCCGGGGAGCGGACCCCTAGTCATATTACACAGAAATTACTTAGCCAATCAGAGCACACTCACAGTAAAATAACGTTTGTAGGAACTTAGCCGTTACGCCAAACTATCCACTGCCCAAAATTAATGAAATGAACTTCTCCTTCTGGTGTAAGCCATCTGTTCCACTTTACCAAGATTATTGCCAATACATTTTAAATGTGCCAATTACACAACCTGTCACTATTATATGTTACTATACAAAGTTATCCCATCCTCGTCGTCAAATACTGTGGTGTCTTCATACCTTAAGGCTGTTTATGTAGGAGAGATGAGACACAGTATTATGAATCCTGTGTGTTTTACAGCTCCCTCTACAGTGAGTGAGTCTAGTGTCTTCATACCTTAAGGCTGTTTATGTAGGAGAGATGATGCACAGTATTATGAATCCTGTGTGTTTTACAGCTCCCTCTACAGTGAGTGAGTCTAGTGTCTTCATACCTTAAGGCTGTTTATGTAGGAGAGATGAGGCACAGTATTATGAATCAATGTGTTTTACAGCTCCCTCTACAGTGAGTGAGTCTAGTGTCTTCATACCTTAAGGCTGTTTATGTAGGAGAGATGAGACACAGTATTATGAATCCTGTGTGTTTTACAGCTCCCTCTACAGTGAGTGAGTCTAGTGTCTTCATACCTTAAGGCTGTTTATGTAGGAGAGATGAGACACAGTATTATGAATCCTGTGTGTTTTACAGCTCCCTCTACAGTGAGTGAGTCTAGTGTCTTCATACCTTAAGGCTGTTTATGTAGGAGAGATGAGACACAGTATTATGAATCAATGTGTTTTACAGCTCCCTCTACAGTGAGTGAGTCTAGTGTCTTCATACCTTAAGGCTGTTTATGTAGGAGAGATGAGACACAGTATTATGAATCCTGTGTGTTTTACAGCTCCCTCTACAGTGAGTGAGTCTAGTGTCTTCATACCTTAAGGCTGTTTATGTAGGAGAGATGAGACACAGTATTATGAATCCTGTGTGTTTTACAGCTCCCTCTACAGTGAGTGAGTCTAGTGTCTTCATACCTTAAGGCTGTTTATGTAGGAGAGATGAGACACAGTATTATGAATCAATGTGTTTTACAGCTCCCTCTACAGTGAGTGAGTCTACATATAAACCATCAACATTTAAAGTAAATAAATAGTTGTTGCTATAATAATATAAATTATTCCTTTATATAATTATTTGTAAAATAATAGATAACAGTCACCCCATTACAGAACTAGTATAGAGCAATGTTACTTGTTAATTGGTCCACTCATATTTAATTGACCTTTTAATACGAAATGGGGAACTGACATGTTAAGGTATGCTTCTCTCAGGCAAGACTATAACAAACATATCCTGCCTAGTTCTCAGGAGACAACCATAATCGTTGTCTTGTCTGCCTAACTCAACACAGCATCTCTACAGACCGCCATCTGTACACTAAGCTTTGTCAATATTTCTTTTTAAATCATAGATCTACAAACCAACATATTTAAATCAGTTGATAATATATTTTCTAAATCATGGACATATTCTTTCTCAAATCTAATAATGTATTTTCACATTAGTTTACCTGGAGTGAGTTGAGTGGGACAGGGCCACATGGCCTTGATGGCCGGCTCAGTTGCCAATCCGAAAACATAATCTATGACAATCTAATTTGTAGCATAATAAACTAGTGTTTACAGTAAGAAATAGCTGCACTTATAGAAAAGAACAGAATACATTACTTCAAAATAATTTTTTATATTCTAAGTTCTTGAATATAAATAATAAATAAACGCACTACCTAATACCTCTCTAGTCGCTCGAGGCTCCTACTACTGTAATAAAATCTCCTTGCTTTCACTGTTTAATATTTGCATACAATTTACAGCATTTCAGGAATACCGATGGCACAGTACCAGCACTTCACTCAAAGTGCTTTGAAATCAATGAAGAGCCCGTCAGGTTCTATGTCTAAAGTTGTATGTGATATTAAAAGAAATGTGATAACTGCCATTGAGAACAATTCTCGTATCAAATTTGTGTGGATTCCGTCCCATGTTGGGATTAGGTTGTGGGGTATGAGATGTTTGGTTCACACTCAGGATGGGATGGAGAAAGGAAACTCACAATGTGCTCTCTGTATACATGTTGTAATAGATGTACAATGCAGCTTGTATGGGCTCACAAACGTACGTACATGTAAGATATCTCACACTCAGGATTGAGGTAGAACAGAAACTCACAATGTGTTTTCTGTATATATATATTGTTGTACAGTGCAGTGCTAAGGAGTTACTTGGTGATGAGTAGTTTGCTCAGAGGTCCTGTTGGGCGAGGAGCTTTCTGAGGGAGCTGGTTGGTGAGGCGCTGTAGAGAGGTCTTGTTGGTCCAGTAGGTCAGAGTAGAATGGCCTCCCTGGCTTGACTTAACTTAAATGCTAGTGACAGGGGGGAAGGAGGTTCAGGGGAAGGATAAAGGGAGGATTGAAGTGAATTTTAGAAGGAGAGAAAGGTGCCGTGGCTAAACACCGCTTGCGTTATTTTTGGTTTTAAGTTGGAGGCAACAGCAGCTCGCCCGGATGCGGCAGGACCCAGCGTCAGGTCAAGCGTCAGGTGCGTGTTGGGTTGGGCAATGGGTTCTCAGTACTTGGTCGGCTTGATTGGGTGTGGTGTTTTCTTGTTTGGAGGAAATGTCTTGGTATTTTTGTTAGCTGGAAGTTTAATTTTCTTCTTGCTCTCCTCCTCTTCTTGTTCTCTTGGAGTGACCATTCAGTCGTGTTTGGGTCCTGTTCTTCCTCGTCTAAGTGTCTTAGGTCCCGTTCTTTGTCGTCTTCGTATCTTAGGTTTTCGTAGGTGTGGAAGAAGTCGGAGACGGTGAGCTTGACCACGTGGGCTTCTGCCCCTGGGGTCTCGTGGTGTTCTGGGTTCTTTGTAACGTGTTTTCTTGGGTCTTCTTTTCTTGATTATTCTTTTCTTCTTGTTTTTTCTTGTCTTGGGAGTGTACAGCAAGGAGGGCCTCTTTGTAGCTCAGTTTCTTGTCAAGTCGAGCCTTGGCTATCCTGCATTCCTCCTTCCATTTGGGCCAGGTCCGGTCGGCAGAGGAATGTGGGCCGCCACAGGCAGCGCATTTTTTCACTGTGTTAGGGTAGACGGTGTAGCGGTGTCCGGGGCTGCCGCACAGGGAGCAGGTGTCCTCCTGCGCCTGACACTTGTTGACAGTGTGACCGTAGTGCTGGCATTTGTAGCAGCGTTTTGGTCTGCAGTAAGGCTTGACTGGCAGTTATCCACGCCAGTTGAGCCTCCTTGGGTAGGGTTTCGTGGTGTCCGGCGAGGGCAGTGGTGTTGGTCAGCTTCTTGACACAGGAGTTGTCCCTTGAGAAGTTCGTTCAGCTCTTTTTGGTCCACGTGGGCAATTTCTGCGTGGGAGATTACTCCCATCTTCAGGTTGTCCCAATCGTGGGTAATCATTTTTATTGGGATGCCGCTGATGTCGGGGATCTCCGCGAGTTGTACGGGCATACCATAATCGGTGAAGGTGATCTTGATGTCTCCATGCAGCTTCAGTCGATCCACCTTGGTAACCCCCACGATCCCATTAGTTTCAAAGAACTTCTTGAGAACTAGGAGGTTTAATTTCTTGGGGCAGGTCGGGTTAACCGGGCGTATCCGCGCCACCTTGTCAAACTCGTAACCATTCATGGAGAGAGAGGGTTAGGGCCTCCCGGTCGGTCGGTGATACGGAGAGAAGAGAGCATTAGCTCTGAGGGTGCAAGAAGGGTACAGTACAAGGCAAAGTTCAGAAGTGGGAAATAGAGGAGGAGGTTAACAGCAGGTGGGCTATCCACCTTGCAGAGACGGGGTTTTTTGTCTTCCGTCAACAGTGCTGCATTAGAGGACTCATGCGGTTAGGGAAGGCCGGTCTCAGCCAAGCTAAGCTAAGTTGTTCTTTTTGATGTTTCCTTGAGGCATATTATGATGGGGGGGGCGGATCCCTCCAGGTCCTTGTGGCACTGGAGGGATGATCCCCATCTTTTTCGTTTTTAGTTTTTTATTGTGGGTGTTAGTGAACTATTTAGGTCTTTGTTTGTGAGGTCCTTGTGTGACTGGAGAGTTATGCCCATCTTTTGGTTCTTTTTTTATTGTGTATATAGAGGCTCTGGTTCTTAGTTATCATTTTTTCTGCTTCTAGGCCACCATCTGTGCGATGTGTTGTTGTCTTCCTCAATCAGTTGGTTTAGTATGGGATCCTGTTCTTGCTGGATTTTTTCCCATATTGCATTTGCTTGGGTGTGTATTCTGGTGTTGAGTGGGTCTATGCCGTGTTCTGTGTGTATGTCTTGTGCTGTTTGTGTGTATGGTGGTTGGTGTTTTGCCGCTCTTCTGAGGGCTATATTTTGCACTGCTTGAAATTTAAGTTGATTTGTTCTTGCGATTGTGTTCTGAGGTATCGGAGGGTATTCTAAATGTGGTCTGATCAGTGCTTTGTATAGGTGCAATTGCGTGTTGGTGTTTAATTGGCGGAATCTTCTGAGCTTTGTAAGTTGTGATTTTGCCATAGCTATTCTTTCATTGATGTGGGGGATTATTCCGTTTCTGGTTATCTTGAGTCCTAATATTTTTCTGTTGGCAGCATATGGTATTTGTTGGTTGTTGACAATAAGTAGGGTAGGGGTTTGTTTTTGGGATGTGAATTATTTTGAGTTTTTGGACATTGGTTTTTATCTTCCATTTTCGTTCATAGTTATTTATTATCTCTATTTCTCTGCTTGTTCTAATGGCCATCATTTGTTTGGATTTTCCTGGGTTAACCGGGCGTATCCGCGCCACCTTGTCAAACTCGTAACCGTTCATGGTGAGAGAGGGTTAGGGCCTCCCTGGCTTGTTGTTGTTGTTGAGATTGTCGGACCGTAGTCCGACACGGGCCTTTGCCTATAGGCGGCCCGTTCGGTGGTTCCGGCTGGAGCTCCTGGAGCAGCCAGACCGGATTGGGATTGGAGGTTGTCCTACCTGCAGATATGGAAGGATACTGCAGGTTGCAAGTGTGAGCGTACCCCCGATCAGTGGACGCTTACCACCAACCCCCACTCTTGGACGTGGTCAGTTTCGGAGTGGCGCGCCCCCCGAACTGGGGTCCGCACTTGCTGGGAGAGGATACTTTCTAAGCTATCTGGGTGGTGGGTATCGTGTGATGACCCGGAGAAGGTGGTGAATGTGGTTTGTTTGGGCCTTTCGGGTTAGAGTGGCCGCTGGTGTTGTGTGCTTCTTGGGAGTTTTGAGTTCTGTTTCGGAGGCTTTGTGTGACTTCGCAGTCGAGGAGATAGTGTTCAAGTGGGTTGGCTGCTGGCTCCTGACAGTAGGTGCATTCCATGACGTCATTTCCGATCATCTGCCAGGAGCACTTGTACCCTAGTCGTAGTCGATGAAGGCTGATTTGGGTTTGTCTTGGTGTTTTCTTGTCTGCAAAAGGTGGTTCCCCTTTTGTAGCCGCCAGGTACCAATTGGCTGATTGAGAACCAGCGTTGAATGCGTGAAGGAAGCTCTTTTGGATGTGGAGCTTGCTAGTCTTTCTGGGGTGATTCTTGATCTGTTGCACACTTGCTGGAACTTGAATGTGTACGCTACTAGAACGTGTGGCTGCCTTGGCTGCTTTGTCTGCCACGTCGTTTCCCCCGATCCCTACATGACTGGGAATCCAGTGTAAGACGACAGGGCGGTTATGTCTTTGGAATTCCTGTAGCTGTGCGAGGATCGAGGTTAAGATGTGGACATTGTCTCTTGGTTGACTGTGTTGCAGCGCCTGCATGGCCGATTTCGAGTCCGTGTGAATTATGATGGACTTGTTGTGTTGTGTTGCAGCATGTTGTAGGGCCTCAGAGCAGATGACCAGCTCATCACATAACTGTGTTCGCGACGCTGTCTGACCCTACTGGCCTTCATCCATTTCCAAATACTAGTGTGGATGTCGTCCTGGGTCTACATGACCACCCTTGGCCTACAGGAACCTGTGAACGTTGGAGTCGAGGCTTAGAGTGAGGTCAGGGTCAGTCCCTTGCTCCTCTCCAGCCAACATCTCACAATGCTGAGTTACCAAGTCGTAACTTACACAGATATATCAACAAACCTCATTACTCTATACATCAGCATGTAAAAATTAATTTACGAGCTTAATTTAATTTTCTAAGGTTAAGTTTCTAAACTAAGCAATGACTCAGCTTTCAAAGACAAGAATTAAACTGAAAAGAAGTACTAAGAATGGCAGCGTACTGTGGGCGGAGCTTCGCAATGAGATAACTGAGCTTTTCCGTTATGTTCTAGCAATAAGTGAGTTTTGTGTTTACCGTACATTTCAGAACACTATCTAATTTCTATAATACACTGACTGACAACATTTTCTTTACTCTCTTCGGATTCTCTGATGTTCATAGATCAAAAGATATAACTTCAGTTTTGAATTGCCTTTGCTTAAGGACACACAAAACATACTTATTACAGCTGGCAGAATCAGTACTCAAAGCATAATCTCGTAACACGAAATTCTCTACACAAAGATATATGATGCCTTCAACATATACTTTATACACCTAGAATATTTTCTCATGGTAGGTTTAACCGAATTACTGTACAATAAATT